TATATATATATATATATATATATATATATATACATATATATACATATGTAGTGAACTAGGCCTCCGATCAAACCTGCCTCTGAAGACCTTCATGGGACAGGAGCTGTTATTTCATTGATTTGAATCCAGAAATACAAATTAGCTCATCCAGAGACTTTCTAATTGTATCCTGAACTAATCAATTGAAAGAACACTCTCTTTTTATATTATCATTACTATTTTACAATGTCTTTATAATCAAAAGTGTGTTTAGTTCATACCATTTTTAAATGTTGAAGTGAACCACTCATTTTAAATCAACTGTGAAACAGTATTAATGATTTCTTAATCCTCATTCATATTAGAAATCAAGTTAAATGTCTATTTTACAAAGTAATTATGCATTTTTGATCTTCTGTCTGAAATGAGAAGAGTGATGTCGGTCAAAAGTCGGAGACAGTCAAGAAACAAGTTATTGGAACGAGCTGTCGTGTTTTTAAACCTCTCAGACAGTAAATAAGAAAACTGGCACCTGTAAGTCTGTCATTTCTCCAAAATATTTTCTCGTCTGTAACTAACCGTTCTCAAAACATTCTGCTGTGTTCTCGACTTGTAATAACCCTTTGGCGTCACTAAAACCACACCCCTGTTGGTTCCTTCAACAAATCAGGACTTCCTAAAAGTGACCGGAAGCAGATCTCTTTAAAGGTTCTGAGTTCCGTTGGTTCCGTTAGTTCTTCTGGTTCTGATGGAGTTCAGCTGGAGTTCCTCTGAGTTCTTCTGAGTCTCTTGGAGTTCTATGGAGTAGTTCTGGAGTTCTGGAGTTTTTCTACTGCTGAGTGGAACTTCGGACTCAGTTTTCCAGGCTGATGGAGTCATCCATCTCTGCAGGAGCCACGACGCCTCGCTGTGGCTCCACCCGGCGAATGCCCTATAACTGCTGACGAAGTTTGTTCTGTGGAACGGATTATCTCACGACTTCTGCCGAGTCGCAGCTGCCCTGAGGAGACGCTGAAAGGTAGCGTGCCAGGGACCTCTTGACCGCAGCTGACCCATTCTCCGCCAAGGTAAAGAGTCGTCACTGGCTTCACTACAAGTGTACCACGGCTAGCTGCGTTTGAAAGGAGCGTGTTGTTCTGGTCTACAAACATACATCTTCCTCCACATTTTCTCTACATTTAAACTCCTTCATTTCCCATCTTTAAACTTCTGTCTTGCCAGTAATTAATCCAGATGCCTTCAGAAATGTCTGTTGTTTTTATTAAGTAAAACGTGCCATGGTTTATTAATCAGAACAAGATCAGTCTAATCAAGTGTACAATGTTTTGATGTTAAATTTTGATTCTGTTAATAAATGACCACATTTATTTTGATGGATCAAAGAAAATTAACGTCTCATGTCACTGATTAAACCATCGACAACACAGTACCTCTGTCACATATCTGTCAAGTAGCTCGAAAAAGAGAGAACCCGTTATTAAAACATGACTGTAGTGGAGCTCGAAGCTAACCTAGCCTTTTAGCATACTACATCTGGTGGCCCGGACGGCCTCTAAAGAGCTTCTCGTGACCCGCATGGTCTCTAAAAGAGATCATTTAGGACCTATCCTCCCCTTTAGACATTTTGTGGCCATACGAATGTTTAAAGAGGTGTGAATTATATGTGACGGAGTCTGTGTTATTGAGATGGACGCTCATGTTGGCATGAAAAGGTCCGAGTTTTGAGCTTGGAAAGACATGATAAGTCATGCTTGTGGTGTTCAAAAAGCTGCAATTACGTCAATGTGTTCATTTTAAAGCTGAAAATTGTACACCTGTTGTGTAACTGATGCTTGCATGCTGTGAAAAAAACGCTTTATTCTGTTTTGAAACTGTGGCATGACCGGGAGGTTCTGCTGTCCGACTCGGTTCTGACTCGTTGAACGAGTGGTGTTTTAAATGGATAAAACGCTGTTTTAAAGCTGAGCGCCGTCTCAGACCACTGTTAAATGCTGATCTGTTAAGTTTTCAACAGTACATTGTGCATTTTGGAGGTTTAATGGGCGATTGTTGACCGGACTTTTTCAGGCTAACTGCTAACAATGCTAGCTGGAATCATGAGCTGTGATTGGTTGAAAACCGCTGTTTGGGTCGCTCTGATTCGCTGAGAAACTGGTGACGTGTCTGCGTTCACTCCCTCTGATGTCAGATTGTAAAGCCCACCCCGTTGCTCACATGTCTATGAAGTCACGTGACCCCGGAAATGAATCTCGGTTCAACCGAAGCCTCCTCTGTGTTTAAAATCGCTAAATGAAGCCTGCCACTGTTCCCAAAACTCATGTTTTCATGCAAATAGTCGTGCTTGTTAAGACGACGCCTCGTTTAAGCTTTAAATCCATTCAGAAAATACTGATTTGACCGTGTTCGACCGTGTGCTACATCTAGCTAACGGCTAACACCGGATGTCAACAGAACGATCCACAGAAAGTTGTCGTAGACTTCTGCTGGTATAAATAAGCTTACACCACCACCTGCTGTTGAAAGAGGGGTATAACAGTTTTCCTGAAGGGCGACTGATCATTTCCTTTCATTTTTTGTTTTTTCTTTTTGTTCATCCAGCCTGGTTTATGAGTGACTGTTTTAAATAGCGAATTTCTGGTATATAGAACTGCTTAAAAAGCGTTTGAAAACTAAAGTTGCTGTGAGACTTTTAGAAAAATTGCAGGTTTATTTAATTTTAAGTGCTTTAGAGTAAATGAACACTGAAATAGGCCTGGTTCTTGTATCTGTTAGAAATAAGCACATTAAGTAACACTGCCAGACGGAGGCATTTACTTGGACTATTCATGCATTGGGGTGAATCTTACAATTAAGTGCCCATTCATTTGAAGAAGTTGGCTTATAACAGTACTGTTGAGTGAACCCAGAGCTAAAATAGTGTGTGAAACTCACTGCTCACTTAAATACAAATATTTACCTGTTAAAATCTCTGAAGTTGGCAACTGTTTAACCAGATAAGTGCTGAACAGTGAATAACCATGGCAGATATGACAGAAAAGAATATTAGAGAGTTATTGGACAAGCTGAAGGATGTTGCAGAGAGTGTGACCTCTACAGCCAGAACAAAGTCAAGCTATGACCAGCTGGGTAAATTGGTGCTCTTATTGAAAGCAACATTCTATGCTGTGGTAAACAAGGCTGACAAACTTGCAATAAGGTTAAACAGCGAAAAAGAGGAGTACCTCAAACTCATGGCAC